GGGTGCGTTACCTCCTGGCGGGGTCGTGTTGAGGCCGCGGCCATTTTAGCAGGGGGGCGCCCGCCCGGGGAGGGGATGGATAGAGACGGGTTAGGGAGCTGAGGGGCCTGGGTGAGCGCCGAGGGCGAGAGGGCAGAGCGCTGGGATAGGGAGCTGCCCCTGCCCGCAGTACCGGCGCATGAGGGTGTCCCAGGGAGCCATATGGGGCCTGCTGAGGCACCCCCCTGGGATGCGGGTTGTGGCCACCCTGTGGGGACACAGTGTTGGCCGAAGGGATCTCAAAAGCCTCCTAAGCTCATCGAGGCTGCAGGGATGTGGGTGAGAAAAGGCCAGGGAGTGAGGGGTGTTCAGGTTCTTCTCTAATCCTTTAATGCCAATCTGCCAAATTAAAATACCTAGTGAGTGAGCGAGTTACCTAACTCCACTGCTGGTCCCTGAGACTGCTAGTCCCTGCTAGTGGTTGTCGCTGTATTCCATGAAATGCTAAATTACCACAGTAGTTTTGATCCAGACTTTATGAAGTTTTTGCTCTCCTTAGAAATTTAGGCAGTGTCACCCTCTAAGTGTTTGCACTGTAACTGCACAGAGTGGTCTTTCCAATGGGCAAAAATCAAAACGCTCTTAGGAAAGGTGTGTGCGTGAGTTCTTTTAAATGCTTAGCATGTGTTTTAAGGGAACGTAGCATACACAGCTGTGAGGTTTTTTTGTTACGCCTTTGAAGTAGAGATAGAGCCAGCATGCTCAAATCGCAGTTAAAGTGTTTACAATCATGTGGGGATTGCTAGAAGTACTTAGATAGTTGGGGGAGGGTGTAGGAATTAAATTTGTCCACATGGAATGCTATGTTTGTATGACTTGGAGCCCCAGTCAGACCCAGGATACTCCAGAAGATTTGATGTCCGGCATCTGCTTTGTACTTTTATAAAACCTTTTACATGTTTACATAGGCCTGCCTACATCTGCGCCTGTGTTTGAAGTTGACTGATGAGCCCATGAGAACTGGGTAACTCCGCTGTCCAGACAGAAGTGGGACAAGCAACAATAGCTTTGTTGGGAACAGCTCAGCACTGTGAATGTGCTGATGAATCTCCAGATAAAAACAGTACTTTGCATTTTAAAAAGAGGGACTTCTCTCCCATAATAGTTTATTTTGAAACTGAGTACATGCTTTTCTTGTTCTCGGGACATAACTACATTATATACTGATGACTGCATGTTAAGTAATTTTATTTTACTGAATTATTAATGCGTGTGCATGTACAAGTGAATGCTGAGTGTGTTATGAAACACTGTTGTGAAACATATGCAAGGGATGTACCAAATGCAGAGAAGGTGGATCAGTCATTGTAATGACTGTAATATTTAGAAGTTATTTTAAAAGATTTCTCCATAACTTAAGTTCTTTAAATAAATATCTTCCATAAGTATTATGTTTGTTTGCCTGCTTTGAAATGATTAGCACTACCCAGCAATGTAGGAGGTGGCGTAGCCTGCCCTCATAAGCTATGGATCTTGCTAAATACCTTATTTATGCTTGGATAGCGGGATTGCACGTACGTATGTTTGCCTGGTATGAGCAGGAAATGATTGGTTTATGATGATTTAGTTGTCACACACCGCATGTTCGTGAAGAGCAAACGGACCTGAGCTTTTTTGGGGGGTTATAATTCACCAAAATACAAGTATTAGGAATCTGGCCATGATGCTCACTTTACTTCTGAGCGGCTGTAGAGTTATTATGCAAACGAAGACATTCCCTTTGCTCAACAGTATCTGAGCAAGCTGCTGTAGGCTGTTCCTTTTACTGTGATGGGGGCTGTTTTGCCTGGCAGTTAATGAATATTGCTGGGGTCAGTGTTGATCATTCACTGTGAAGCCTATCCTCAGAAAAGGGAACAGGCAGGTGCCTGTGCTGTCTTTGGAGACCAGTGCAAGGAATTTACTAAAATGGAATTTGAGGCTGACTGAAATGAGCTTTCCCATTATTTATGTGTGTTAATGCATTACAGTGGATGAAAATACAGTTTCTGTATTTCAGAAAATGCAGAGGACATACAGTGGTGCAGATGCTTGGCTGAAATTTGTGTTATTTCACATTTTTCCTAATTAAAAAGCATTTATTTTAAAAGTGTGGGGAGTAGTTAGAAAAGCATAACTGTGTGCCTCAGATTAGAGGAATGAGTGGGAAATGGTAATTATAATTTGCTTTTTTATTGTAAGGAAAGAGAAACGTGCTTTCCTTAAAGAGTAATGATACCTAAGTTTCATTGTCTTTGCTGACAGACTTTCTACATCAAAGCAGTAAATTGTAGTTCTAGTGCAAGTTCTTCCAAGACTTATAGGATGCTGAAGCTCATAAAAGCTGCTGATCGGACGTGCCAGTAACCTTCATTTCCAAACCCAGAGCACTCCTCTAGCAGCAGGATAAGTCTCTTGGGGACTTTCCCACCAGCTTTTGTGATGAAGACCTGGAGGTGAGGACAGCCAGTTCCACATGCTCATGCATTTGTTAACACCTTCGTTATGACCAACAGTGAAAGGGCTGACTCTCCCAGTGAATGGCACTATTCATTGATTTGCTGAATTATGCTTTTGTATTATGCAGTTCTAGTCATGTTTAGAGACTTCAGCTGAATAATTGCATAGACAGGCACACTAAGAATGGGGCCTTTGAGTGGAAGGGGATGAATTTGGCCTTAAAGGGTTCATCTCTTCCAATTCTGTTCTCCTGGGATTTTTTTTTAATCGCCTTGAGTACAAGGAGATGTGGAACTATCTTCATATGGCCAGACAGGGTTGGCCGACCTACAGAGAGAGCAGTCAGACTGCAGACAGCAAAAGCAATCAAAGCCATGGATGTTCGGACACTTGAAAAATATCTTGTAGTTCTTACTTTCCCTTGTGTGCTTTTCTGACTAGATCTGCTCTTTATTTTAGTCTTGTAGTTTCTGCACGTCAGTATTTCTGTCCTTTTTCTCTTGCATCCTTTATGTTACTGCTTTTTTTTAATAATTATTTTCTTTTAACTTGTTTAACTTGTTCCCTCATAGGTAAGTGCCCACATCTCATTCTATCAAATTGCAAATTTAACATGGCATTTTCAGTTATTATATTGGTTACTTTAAGTGTAGTTTATATGGAATCC